TCTAGAAATATTCTGATCACTAAAGTTGGGTGCTAATATGATTTCTAAATGTACTAAGACACCCATTAAGTCATTTTAAATGTGTACCGGATAATGACTTAATTAAACGGAAGATCGGAAATCAAAATCGGAAACGACGATTGGTTGGGCGAATTGTACTACGAAAGAGTTACAATAAATGATGCGGATTTCGGGTTGTTACACCAGGGTGGTAAAGTATTTCACAGTCGTAGTCCTTGAGTAACTCTAGCCAGCGTTGTTGCCTCATGTTCAATTCCTTCTGATTAAAGAGATATTGGAGACTCTTATGATCAGTGAAAAGTTTACACTTTGTGCCATAAAGATAATGCCTCCATATCTTCAAGGCAAATACTACCCCTGCCAACTCCAGATCATGAGTGGGGTAGTTCTTTTCATGTTCCTTCAATTGCCTCGATGCATACACGATCACTTTATCCCTTTGGGTCAGAACAAAACCTAACCCAACTCCAGATGCTTCGCTATAAACTACAAAGTCATCAACTCCTTCAGGCAACGAAAGAATCGGTGCTTCACACAATCTCTTCTTTAACTTCTCAAAGGCTTCCTTATGCTTCTCATTCCAAGCATAAGTAGCTCCTTTGTGGGTCAAAGCTGTTAATGGAGTAGCAACCGAAAAAAAGCCTTGGATAAACCTTCGGTAATATCCAGCTAATCCTAAAAAGCTTCGAATCTCCGTAGGGCTTTTTGGTTGTTCCCACTTCATTACAACTTCAATCTTTGCTGGGTCAACCATTATTCCTTCTTGGTTAACCACATGACCTAAAAATTGGACTTCTTGAATCCAAAATTCACACTTGGAGAACTTTGCATACAACTTCTCCTTTTTCAGGACTTCTAGCACTTCACGCAAATGCTTTTCATGCTCCTACTTGCTTTTCGAATAAATCAAGATACGTTTATGAACACTATCAGGGATTTATCTAGGAATGGTTTACAAACCCTATTCATCAAATCCATGAAAGCTGCTGCGACATTGGTTAGTCCGAACGACATAACCAAAAATTCATAGTGCCATATCTCGTTCTAAACGCAGTCTTTTCGATATCCTGCTCTCTCACCTTTAGTTGATGGTATCCTGACCTAAGATCGACCTTCGAGAAATAGCTCGAACCCTGCAACTGGTCGAACAAATCATCGATCCTTGGCAACGGGTACTTATTCTTTATCGTCACTTTGTTCAGCTCTCTGTAATCGATGCACATTCTCATGCTTCCATCTTTCTTCTTTACAAATAACACAGGGGCTCCCCACGGTGATGCACTAGGTCGAATGAAACCTTTGTCCAATAACTCCTGGAGTTGTGTCATAAGTTCTTTCAGTTCGGTTGGTGCTAATCAATAAAGCACTTTTGCTATCGGCGTCGTTCACGTAACAAGTCGATACGAAATTGTACTTCTCGATCAGGAAGCAATTCGGGAAGATCTTCAGGAAAGACTTCCGGATACTCACACACCACCGAATATTTTTTACCTCCTTCTTTTCCATCTTAGCATCGATCACAAATGCTAGATATGATGTACATCCCTTGGCCAAACACTTTGTAACAACCCGAAATTTGTTCGTCGCCAAAACCCGTTCTACCCGGAAAGTCGCCGTTATCGGATTCATTCCGTTTTCTCTTTGGAGTTAATCGTATAAACTTATATGTTTATTTTATTCTAATGAGTGTCTAAATCACTCAGGAACTTATGTTATTAGCCGAAAAACATTTATTTCATGAGTTTTTATAATGTTCCCGTCGGGTGACGGAAACTCAATCGGGTGCGACCAAAAGTCGCGTTTAGCGTCGGTATCGGGTAGAATTCCACCGCGTGCAAATTTTAGGAACTATATAAACGTGTTTCAGCTTTCATTTGAAGCTTTTCCTTCTCTCACTACTCTCTCTCTCTAACCTCTCTCCAAAAATCCAAAGATTAAGGGTCCAAAACTCAATTTTAAGGCTTCAAATCCTTAAGGTACCTTCCTAGCTTCAATCTATAGCATGTTTAGCTTCCAAATTAGACACTTAATCATGAAATGGGACACAATGTATGAGTTTACGGCCCAGGAAGTGCCTAGGCCGTAAACACCAAAAATGATGGGTTTTGAGCCCTTAAACCCTCCTTGACTAGTTTGGACTTAGATATGGCTATGGACTTCAAGATATGGACTCTAAACATGTAAAACTTGAATTTTGTGATGTTTGAAGGAGTTTACGGCCAAGGATCATTCTTGGGCCGTAAACTCATATAATTAGGGTTTTCATGCCCTTAAACCCTTCCAAATCACTTCTATGGCTAGATATGAATTATAGGACCTTGATTCTAGCATTTGGACACTTGAAACATGAATTTTGGGGATTTAGATGAGTTTACGGCCAAGGAGAGTGCTTGGGCCGTAAACTCCCCAAAACTTGCATAAATCCAATTCTAAGGTGTTAGAAAGCCATCCAACACCACCAAAAGCCTTGGAATAAATCAAGGGACCAACCAAAAATACTTTGAGGGCCTAAAACACATCATTCATGGGATTTCTAAGGGTTTACGGCCAAGATTGTTCTTGGGCCGTAAACTCCAAAATTCTTGGTGTTAGAATGCAAACTAAACACCCCTAAGGCCCTTAGATGAATTTTAGAAGTCCTTCATGCAAGTTTTAGACCTTGAAACTCCTTGAAGCACCCTATAGAAGAGTTTACGGCCATGAGGGGTCTCATGGGCCGTAAACTCCATAAACACCCCAAAAGTCCCTTGCAAACTCATGATAGGCCTTGGATAAATTCTACCAATCACATGTGATTTGTTCTAGCACCATTTAACATCATTTTCTTGGTAAATAGGGGTTTACGGCCTTGGAGCCATGCTAGGCCGTAAACTCCCATAAAGGGTCTATTTGATGTTTTGTAATCATTCCAAGTCCTTAAACCAAGTTTAGAAATTATCCCCTAAGTGTTGGAAGTCCAAATTGCACCATAAACCACCCATCATGAGTTTACGGCCGTAAACTCATGGGGATGGGTGTTTTGGCCGTAAACTCCCTAAAGGGGTGTTCCTTTGATGTCCCAACTCATTTCCCAAGTCCCTTGTATCATTCATGTCCCTAAACGCCACCCGGGTCCTTCCAAACACTTGTATCGGAGTGTTATCGCGACTTGAAGCATTGTCCTATCCAACAATCAATCTAAGTCCTAATTAGATACAAATGTGTATCTTTACATGATAATTAGGAACCTCGTGTGTTTACAAGTTCCGGATCAACTCTTAGCATCCAAACCGTCTCGTATCTCGTCCGGTGAGTTCATACCCCTATGGCTTTTTCACTGTTTTCAATGTTTTCAGGGGGGGAATACAAGCAAACTATAACTGTTTTCCAATCACAACATTGATGTGTTTCAAACAATATCTGACAAACCTATAAACTCTTTTACTCCTTATGTATTATGCTGAGCATAAGAATGACTATTCGATTTCAACTAAATGGATTTTAGTTAAGGAAACAATCAAACTAATCAAATTATTATGGGAATAATTTGGGGTCTTTACTATTCTTTCTATCGTATACTGATGTCTATATCAAGTTATTAGATAAACTATGTCTGATTCAGTTTATCTCCGTATCATTTTAATGTATTGTCAGATAATTTCATGTATGTATCTATACTTTACTGTACTATGTTTCATAATCTTCTGTATATCGATATCTTACAAGAACCCTGTGAATAGAAGTACTAAGTTTGTGAGATAGTCACTACCCTTTATGGATGATCAGTAAATCCTCCCCGGAAGTGTAACCAGAGTCTCCTGGAGGGAGAGCGGAATTTGTGAATAGATCTATTCGGGACTGACAATCCCACACCTTAACTGCTAGCTACAGTTAGGCGGGCACGCCTAGGGTGACAAATTTCTGGATATCGTTCGACGTCTGACAAACGTCAAGGAGGTCATGTTGTCGTATTAGTATGGTTACCCGACTCACAATATGTATTAATACCAGCTTATTCACAGTTTGGGTTCAGAAACTATATCTCGTTCGGGATAGTGATCCCATGGTTTTGCATCTATATTTTATATCTCTTTCGGGATTGTGATCCCATGATATTGTTTCTAGATCTCTTTCGGGATAGTGATCCCATGGTTTTATGCTTATAACTTGTACGGGATGTCTTCCCCATGGTCTTTAACTATATCTTATACGGGATAGTGATCCCATGGTTTTCTAAATCTATATCTTATACGGGATAATGATCCCAGGTTTTGTATCTATATCTTATACGGGATAGTGATCCCATGGTTTTCTAAATCTATATCTTATACGGGATAATGATCCCAAGGTTTTGTATCTATATCATATATGGGATAGTGATCCCATGGTTTTCCAAATCTGTATCTTATTCGGGATAGTGATCCCATGGTTTCAATCTACATTTACATATATATCAACTTATCTCGTGTTTAGTCCGGGATGATAGTCCCATGATCTTAAACCTGCACTTTCAGATGTGTCAAACTATCTTATATGTCTTTCGGGATAGTAATCCCAAGATTTTCATTATATAGTTTTGTGTGTTAAACTATACTTTGTGATATACAACCGATCTTATAATTAGGAAAATATGGGATTTTCCTGGGGTAAAATACAATACATAACCGAATTGGTAACAAATGATAACTTAACCAATTTCACATAAGAAAATATGGGATTTTCTTGGATAACAACTTTTTCGGAAACTAAAGGAAACCGATACATTTTCATAAACCAAAATCCGCTTATGAACTCACCAGCTTTATGCTGATTTTCCAACCGCTTGTATTCTCAGGTCCAAGTTAGACAGGTACCAGGTGATCTCTTTTGATGAAGACGGAGTGCGTGGAAGACTCGTCTCAACTTTTGTTTATATGATGCATATGTATATCTTGTATAACTTTACTTTTGAACAAATGTAAACTTTCATATATATGTAATGTAATGTTTGTTTACTGTGATTACTATGTACATTGGATTTGATACACAACTTGGAGTCAACCCGGGGACGTTTTCCGCATTTGGTTTTCGGGGTGTGACACCAACCATCTCAGTATAAGTACTAGGAGGAAAAGCACCTTTAACAAACTCGAACGGTAGGGCAAAATTACACGAACAAGAATTTTCTCTCATAAGCCAATCAACAACCTTCTCCACTTTTCCGTCCTTAGAAATATCAATCACCTCTTCCTGACACTCCAAAAGACGAGAAGTTCCTCTTGCTAACTTCCTCGGACGCAATCGACAAACAAGAGCCAAATTCCATGCATCAATACCCCCAACACATTGCCACACGACCTTATGTTTAACTACAGGCGCCACAAGGACACCTTCCTTACTGTCCTCTATAATTTCGTCCTCAATACCCTTCCTTATAGACGAATCCATCTCAACAACATCAACAGAAGCTGACTGAGAAGGCTGAGCAACCACACGATGCAGCTCAACGTCCCGAATGGTTGAGTCACAAACAATAAAATCTTCATTACAAAAAAGAAAAGAAGGCAACACTTTGTCAACAAGATCAACATCTCGATGCCGGAGAATTCCAACCTACTTTTTTGCCAACACATCCTTAAAGTTCTCCCTATTTTGTACAACTAAAAATCAAAAGAATGAAAAACATTAAAACATAGTTTTCCTAACTTTCACCAACACATAGAACTCATATATCTTCCATTGAAACCTCCAATACGTACTCATTTCAACACCTACAAGAACATCCTCCAAAAATTCATTTGCCACAACCTGAAAACATCGAAGAAACCTAGCCATTTTCTCCTTGTCAGAATGAAGAGCAAATGACTAATCAGAAATAGGAGCATATCGACGTTGCATCACACCAAAACGGTTATCATTTACCTAATAGTAATGACTGACCTAGGTCTTTGGAAACTTCTTCTGCTCTATCAACAATGAGTGACTATATTTACAAAGGGAGAAATAAGACATCCCAAATTTCAAACTTACATTTTCATTTAAAAATAAATTCATTTGTTCCAATTACTACTTCAAAAAATTAAATAAAACCATTTAATTAAAAACATTTATAAGGGTATCGTCAATAAGTTATTAAGTTTGGAAATCCCTATTCGATGCAATGCAATCGTGTCTCACCCTTCCTTTAATATAAGAAGGTCTGAAACAATTTAAACATGAAACTGTAAGTGCATAGCTTAGTGAGTTCCCCTAGATACCACATACCACACTGTCATAATGGGTCTATTTCAAACCCAATTGAATGCTATGAGACAAATCATAGTCTTACCATCACTTCTTGCCATGGGCCAAATCATGTCCTTTACTTGTACAAATGACAGGGGCTAGATCCTGGTCTTCCATATAATTTTGAGGGGCCAAATCTTAGTCTTCATGCAATTGTCATAGGCCAAAATCCTGGTTTTCATATGAACACCAGGGGCCAAACCCTAGTCTTCACGCAAGAGTCAGAAAGATAACTAGCATCCTACATAGTATAGTAAGAAGACTCACCTAAACTACTCAACATCAGCTCAACAACCACCTTAGCAACAACACCGCTAACCAAAAGTTACCTAATGCCAAACCAATATCATTCCTTAGCCATATACATAATTTTCTTAATTTTTGACCAAAAGTAAACAGTCAAAGTCAACACAGTAGACCACTACGTTGTGGCAAAGTCAGGAAAAAAAATCAAGAGGTAGGGAACCATGTCATGCACCTTCATTATCCATATTGTGATCTCTGGGAAAATTCCCTTTAATAAGTTTAATTTATTAAGACCAAGGCTCAAAACGTCAGATCTAGTACCTAGTAGCTTCATGATGATAAAATTTCCATCTTTATCCATTAGGATGTTCCAAACAACCAAGATCTAGATTTTAAGTCTCAAAGGGACCAAGAATGCATCTTTTTGAACCAAATCCATTAAGTCCAAGTCTCCAACCTTCATATCCAAATCAACTTGATGTTTAGATGGATAAAGTTTCCAACTTTACCCATAATAATGCGACAAACTTTCAAGATCTAAAATTTCATATACCAAAATGACCTAAAGGACCAAGATAATTTTCATGGCTTAAAGGGAAGGAAAAAAATCATAACTTTCCTATTTCATTATGTGTAAGAATCATTTCCCACTGATCAAACGATGTTGCAGTCCACACAACTCCAAGATCACCCATAGAATGGAACAAAAATGCCAAAAACCACAAATGATAATATCTAAAGAAATAAAGAGCAAGATATAAATTTTATACTCACAATAGCCTAGAAATTGAGTGACTTTGATGGATCCAAACTTTAAACAACATTACTTGCAACCTAAAGAACTTTCTTGCTCTTCAAGCTTCAGAAAAACATCACTAAAAGCATCCAAAAGAGAAGAGAGGAGATAGAAGGAGATTAAATTATGAAGATAGAGGCTAGGGTTTCTCTTAAAAGGATCTATATATGATGGAGGTTAAGAAAATGCCCTAAAACATGGACCTATCAATTAAATATGTTGAAAACCTTAAAATTCATCTTCTTAGGTTTCACAACGGATACCTCATGCCAACTAGCTTTCCACCTCGTGGCGAATCCCACCTCAATACAACTTGTTTGCCACCTCATGGTGACTCCCACATCATGGCAACCTGCTTGCCACCTCGTGGCAAAGGGTTTTCACCAAATTCCATTCGAACTTCAAACAATCGTAACTTCTTCGATTCAACTCCGTTTTCAGCGATCTGTATATGCAGGCGAAGGTATTGACGAGCCACAAAATTATATATAGTCACTTTTGAATAAAAACACATTGTACTAAATCGTTAATTCATGTGAGAAGCCTGAATTATCACCTTTCCTATTTTACCCTTTGACTTTAAAGCACAAGTCAAGGGCTTAGGTCATTAACCAACATTATCATCATCTATTAAAGTCTAAAGTCTATTTCCTTGAAACCCAATACCTTTACATTATCGAATTACAAACCAAAATCCCAAAATAAGAAACATCTTGAAACTGGGTGTTACAACTCTCCCCCACTTAAACTGGATTTCATCCTCGAAAATTTGTCTCGGTTAGAATCTCTTAAAACAGCACTAACACAATCCATATGCTCCCTCCAAGAACTTTATTAAATTAAAGTATTTATAAAGATTTATTAACAGATGCCAAAAAAACAACCGAAACACTTGAAAGTACTCAACTGCAACAATTACCTCTCTATTCCCAAAGGTATGATCTAACTTACAACAAAACCACTGAAACTGGGCAAACTACAACTACAACCTAACTTCATCAATATACTACACAAGACTAGGACCTGTGAATCCGAATTTCAAAAAACATATCTATAGAATGATGATCATCCATCCGCTATATCTACCCCTAGTCCCTGACTAGGAACACCACCAAACATGCAACATAAACACTCAAACATTACAATCATGAATTTCAACCAATCAAGGTTCATAAATTATGCCCAAAATACCTCCAGTACACACTTGACTTCTTGACAAGTCATAACTAACCAACTGCTCCTACGAGCATAACCATGGCCATTACAGAATCACATGTCACATTCAAACTCTGATACAGTTCAGGGTCACAACCATCTGATAATTCATTCAAGATACCTATAACCATTCCATCATTGTTAAATTAACTCAGTCGAAGCCATATTAAAAAACGTGAACAAGAATCCACAAAGAAGAGCTCATCAAGGAATTGTAGATAAACTACCATGACTTTCCAATAAGTCAATGAGCTATAAATGTTCGACCCAAACCTGTTGGCCGCTAAGTCACAAGTAGCAAAATCATAGCTCAATATCGATCTTGAAATCATCCAACCACGGGAATGAAGGACCATGACCAAAAACTCAGTGGGATTATAGTCACACGAACATCATCCCGCCAATCAGTCAACATCCCTCCCAACACTAGTCAACCATAAAAAAGCAATACAATCCAATAGTCAGCAAACCATACCGCAATCTAGATTGCTACTGACGCAACACCAGTTGATAATATGATTTCATGTGACCAAAAAATAAGATAAACAATTGAATGCACATTCAAACCCGAAAGCAATAAATTAAAGAATAACCATACCATAAATTTGGACCAAGTGCTCTCTGACTATCTTAGTCAGTCCAGATGCACCCCTGATGAAAATATTTGTTGAACTACCACAATATACACTCTCAAGGGAACATATAACCTTAATTGATAATGGAAACATCCTTGTGAACAACACAAAACAAGATCTCACACCTTAATTAGAACTAAACACATCCCACCAACGCTTAACTAACATAATAAAACTTCAAAATTTGAGGAAAAATCCAAAATTATCTAGAAATGTTGCTAGAATCATGATCGGGTCAACCCAAATACCAACCCTAGCAACACGATATGCCTAAATTGAGCTCTACGTAGACCCATTGTCACGCCTAAAAAATCAAACAACGCCACTCTGATTTATGAACTTCCAGTAACCAAGGACAACTACCAAACTCAAGCTTACTATATTCCACCACAAAACAATCAAGAGTACACATATCCATAACCCATTACATTAATCTCACATAACACAAATAGGGGTTGAACACAAAAGAAATAATTGACGATCAAAAATGGGTCGACAAACTAGACCCAATGATTTCACATACTACCGAATAAACCCATACGAAAATGAACATACCCATTTCTGAAGTCGATCGACAGATCAACCATTTCCCATCATGACCAAAAATAACCTAACCATACCGCGAGCTATCCATGTTCTCCATATTTGGTACATGATTTGGGTGTCTCATATTCTCCTCTATCAAGACCCTGGTACTTCCAAAATGATCTAACGAGTTCCTTTCATAGCAGCTTCCGATAAGAGGGAAACACACACGTTCATGAAGACGTAAACCTAGGGGTAACTTAAATTATGCGCATGATCTGACCAATACTTGAATTCTACATGACCATACAGAACTTTAGCAAACCCTTAATAAATGTAATGAGAAAACTTCCTTAACACAAAAACTTCAATGGTATCCTTCATTCATTAATATAGTAACACAATCGAAGGTAGCAAAAGGCTACTGCCTTCTTCTTGATTCTAGCTCCATTTTGTCCCTTCTTCTTTCCCTTTTTTTCGAGTCTTTATAGCTCCAAATACCATTCTTTTCACCATTTTGTTGTTGCCTTCGAGAAAACAAAATATCCCAAGAATGGAGTTGTTTTCAACTGATTGAAGACCCAAACATCACTTCTTTTTCCTAGTGTTCTTTCGGATTTTCGAGGATCAAACTTCATCAAGAATAGGATATTTGTTGGTATAAAATGACGAAAAAAACATGCTAGATTTTATCTTTGAAATCATTTGTATTCCACCCTCTTTTGGTCCTCTAGTTGTCTCAAGAATCTTAGGTAATATACTCATCTTGTCTTTCTTTCTTTGTCAACAAAAACAACTCTTTTGTTGTAAATATGATTCTTCTAATGTTGTAACTTGATAATACATATTCATGTGCACTTATATTATCCAAAAGCCATCCATTTCAAAAGTTGATGAAACCTGATAAATGTCCCGAACTCGAAAAAGAATTAACTTACGTAACTAGGATGAGTCTCTACATACCATTTTCATCTTTTAAAACATTTTCGGAGGAGAATACAAGCAATTTATGGCATTAAAACTTATATACACTCATTAAAGTTTATTTATATTTATGTCATATTAACATTCATATATTACGTTTAAGCTATTTATGTTTATTTAAGCTTATTATGTGTGTACACATTTAGATT